CATAGCCTGAGAACATGTTGGAAAGGCATTTCCTTGCCATCATCCCCATCTTGTGATGGTAGGTCCTTTTTTTGCAGTGTTCAGAGCCATTTGTGTTTTTGTTAGGTGGGCCTCCAGCAAAACCATTTTTTTTCTTTACTGCCTAATTCCCTTGGTTTTGAATATATGTTCCCACTGGGTATCAAAGTATTTCAAGACATCCAACTCAATTTTGGTTTAAATTATTTTAATAATTGAAATTTGGGAGCACTGAGCATTGTTCTTGGATTAATCTCTTAGGGGAAGAGAAGAGCTCTGGCTAAACACCCCTTAAACCTGTCTGGCATTCAGACAATTTTCCTTCTCCCTTCAGATATTTCTAGGTAATCTTTTCGTTTCCCTACTTTACTTTCAAAATGCCAGTTGTAATGAACTGGTTAAGCATGGAGATTCAGACAGAGAAAAATAAGAAAAAGCATAATATCTAGTTGACATATTACACTTGCATTGTAAGGAGAATTATTGAAATTGTTGCATTGTATAAAATGGCTCTCCAGCCAAAATATTCTCTGATATGAGCCTATTAAAGCAGTAACAGAAACCACCAGCCTGCAGTGTTACCATATTTGCTGTCTCTTAGACTTATCTTTTTCCCCAGGATTCTACATTGCAATAATTTTTTCTTCTGGGAGGTGTTCAATGCAAATTCCACCTTGTGCTTTTTGAGGACAAACCATGCTCAGCCAGAGAGCCTGGCTGATATGTCCTTTGACTATGTACAGCTTTGGAGTACTGGTCTCTCATATGACCATACATTGCTTTCTTTCCTGGAAACATGATCATGTCCACAATAACTCTTATTTCTGTTACAAGACCAAGCCTAAGGTAGCTGAATGATTAAATTTCCATTGTGCTGAATTTGTAAAATGCTTCCTATGACAGAAAAAGTCCACGCATTTTCAGTACATAGGTGCAAAGGTATTATCCTCATGGAGGGAAAAACTTCCGATTAATTTTTTAACAGCATAGACCTGAGGAAGTTTCTACATGGCTGGCCAATCAGCCAGCCTGCTCCTTCTTCCTTGACTAGCCTAGGAAAAAAGGGGAAATTCCCTTGCATGAAATAAGGTCATCAACTGATCCTCTGGCGAAAAAACAGAGGACAAACATTTACCAGTGAATTTCCACTCCAGAATCGGGAATGAGAGTTTTCCACAGAATACACAAAGGAAATCTCAATGTATTGCACCTACACAGAACTGAAAATGGCTCATTTTTTTGTATGAGTTCTGCAGTATACTCTTGCCTTTAATTGTGTACATCAATATTAAAAGTAATCACTGGTAGCTTAACAACCAGCAAACAACTCTAAAGTGTGTGGACATACAGTCATCTCTTTTAATTATGTCTGTTTTGCATTAGTTTTCTCAATCTGTTTGCCAAATAATCTAAATAACTACAGTCTGAAAGAAACAGTAAATAATGTCATCCACAAACTGACTAAAACAACTACATAGAATAAATTTACCTGGGAATAATTTTGAAATCAAAATGGAAGTATTTGAGATGAAAAGAAATAAATAAATGCAGATTTTTGCAAACTTAAAAGAATCTTTCTCTTTTTTTTCACTGATTCATTGTTACATAAACACCTAAAGATGTTTTGGGATATAGACTGACATGCAAAATTTTTTGTTAAACTTATTTATAACTTTTAATTAGACATTTTGTTCTTTTTTTGTCAAAGTACAAATTTTGTGTTCAAAGGTAAACAAGGGACATAGAGGAGTTTAGGGATCACTATCAGGAGCCACAGCTGTCTGTGACTGCAAGGTGAAACCAGAGAGTAATGCAGAGGTTTTCATGCTAGAAGTATAACACAAAGACGGTGCTGTAGTGAGGACCATCTTATTACACAAGTCCAGAATTCTTAAGCTATTTGCACGAGAAATTAGCGTCATTTATGTTTTTGAAAGCAAGCCCATGTGTATTTAATCTCCTCTTCTATCAGCTTCTGCTTCCTTCATCAAGGCAACTTGGCAAGCAAACCAGAGACAAATGGATTTCCACATGACCTACTTTATCTGGCAAGATATATAAATAGTCTACTCCAGAATTTTGGAGAACCCATTTAAACCCATGGGAATGCACTTGTGGAAGAACACAAGGTCAGTGGAGGAATCAAGGCATCTTGCACGTGCTTCCTGAGCTGGGAGGCAGCACCAGCACCGTGACCGCAGTCGTCACATTCCATGTGACCATGGCATCACCTCACCGGTTAAAGTGCACTTTATTGAGCATTGTGTGCGCTGCAGGTTGGTCACAACGTCCAGTCACAGCACAGGGACTCTTTCAGATGGCATGTGGGATCCAGGAATGGCAACATTCCCAACACTCCCAATCCTCTAGCAGGATTTGCAGGCAGAGAGGATGGATCCCTTCAGAGGTCCCTTCTTGAGCTGCTCTGCTGTCATTGCAACATTCTTGTTAAAAGCAGGAAAAATAACTTTTGATCCAAGAAAAAAATCCTCTTTCTTTCTTTCTCTCTTCTTCCTCAAAGACCTCTGTAGTGCAAATAATTGAGCTTGAAACACCTTTATCTTCCAGGCTTCCCAAGGAGCAGCGCAGAAATAACCTGAGGGAACAAAGTGAGGGGAGAGGGTGGTCATGTCCTGACGTAGTGTTACAGTCCTTCAAGCCCTGAAGGGAGTTTGGTTCTTCCAAGCACAAGTTGTATCGCAGAATTTCAAAATGGGGTATGCTTAATGTTGTTTAAACTTTCAGGAAAGAAGTATAGCTCAAGAGTTATTCTCAACAGAGGTCTTTGTGATTTTTATCCTTAAATTCAGGAAATTATGCCCTAGCCTGAGCTGTCTGAGCATAAAAATTTTTCTACATGGAGGAACTGACTAGTCTAATTATTTCATCATTCTCTTCACAGACAGTTTTACAGTTATAAATATGCAGGTGTTAAGAGTCAGACTGAACTACTGTGCTCTTCATGCATTCCATTAGCCTTAATTTCTTCAGTTTACCCTAATATAGGGTATCTATATTATGAACTGTGGAACGCTGCTGGATATTCACAGAAATGCATAGAATTAATATTCTTGGATTTTCCAGCTGTTCACTAACTTGGAAAGAGAGGTACAGCTCTGTGCAGCCCCCTCCTGAGATGGCAAGTGAATGCCCTAGTGGGACTGTGGATGAGTAGCTCAAATGAGAGCAGAAAAGGAAATCCACTCCCATGACTAGGAAAGGAGCAGTCCGTGAGACAACATCTTAACATTTGGAAATTGTGCTTTGCTGTGTTATGTTTTCTTCAGTTCCACAATGCAATAAAGACATTTTATGTCCAGTCTTGGGGCTTGTGACTAGGCTCAACAACTAAGTATGGTCTAAAAGACAAGCTTTATTGTTTATTATTCATCACTATGACATTAACTCTTTTCCCCTAGTGTTTTATCGTTACATGACAGGGACGAAACCCCCTCAAAAAACTGATAAACAAATACACAAAAACTTAAGCTGGAGTCCAGGCTGACACTGGTTTCAGAGTGTTTTAGAACACAAATGTAATGTTTTGAAATTTGACCTCGGGGACAATCTTGTGTCTCTGGACCAGATAACTTGTTTGGTTGGTGCTTCCATGGAGACTGCTTAAGCCAAAACAAGCTTTCTTTGATTGGCTCTCAAGGCATGGGTTAATTAATGGGATTCAAATGAACCATTGGATCACGTCACAATGCCCTAGTGCCAATGGCATTTTTAGTTAGTTCACACTGACTCCACATGTTCTAAACAGTAAATCGTCTCCAGGGTTCTAAAGGAAACTGGAAAATTTTGTGGTCTTATCTGGCACTTGGATAATCTCAAATGTTAAGATTATTAAACAATGGCATTAGTGGTTTAAACAAAAGAGTTGCACTGAAACCCAGCTTGAAATCTAAACCTAAGAGTACAATTTGAGTTCATGTTTACCAACCAAATCACATTTTATTGTTTCCACCAAGCCCTGCTGGAGAAGCTGAAATGGTATGCAGAAATTCATGGTTTGAATGCTTGGATTTGTGTGCTTTGAATATTGCTAAAGGCCGATGTTCACCTCTTTTCTTATTTCAAATGCTTTTGGCAAAATATCTTTTTGACGATCTTTCTTGTAGTGCTTAATAATGCTTCATAATGTCATAATTATTGTTAAAAGATTCATGTTGAAATTGATGCATAGATTTTAACACTTCAGTCTTTCTCCTTTATTTTTTTCCTGTTGTTTCTCCGAATGCTCTATATGCTACAACCACTGCTTTGTAACTTTTTAATTCACTTATACCTAGATAAATGGTAGCACCGTTGGGCTCCCTTCAGCCAAGGCACACTAGGGGGACTATTTCTCTGCAGTGGAAGATCACTGGGGCTAGGCAACACAGCAGCAATCCCATTCCAGAATCTGCCATTTGGTAATCTGAAAAAAAATTGTTTAAAAAATTGTAACTATTTTTGTTAAAAGTGTACTATTCTTTTTCTTTATTTAAGAATATATTATTTATTTGCCATATTTATTAAATTATTTGTTATTACTTATTTAACCCTTTTCTGTCAGAGTGGAAGAGACAGAGAGCACCCACAGCAGAGATGGTGAACTACTTGGATAATAAAAATTTATTTTTTTCCTTTTTTTGCTACTGCAGTTTCAGACTTGCTAAGAGGAATTTACTTAGGCCGCGCTATTTTTAATGCAGTTTTAATTGGGATCTTTAGGTTGGGTTTTGTTTGTTTGTTTTCTTGCTTGGGGTTTTGTTTGTTTATTTTGTTTTCCTCGCAGGGACCGAGCCCGTCCCTCGCCGCCGTCCCGGCCGCGCCGCCGCAGTTCCCAGCGGCCGCCGCCTACAGCTCCCAGGATCCCTCTGGAAGCGCCGGCCGGCCGTCCCTCCCTGCCTGCTTCCTTGCCACCCTGCTTCCAAGCCCTTGTTGTTTGAAAAGACTCCGGCAGAGTTTCGGGGGGAGCCGCGGCGCTGGGCGGGGGCAGGCGGGGCCGCTCGGCGCCGGGGCAAAGGGGGCTCGGGGGGGACGCGGCGCCGGGAATTCCAGGGCAAAGCCCTCCCTCACCGGCCGGCAGGGAGCGGACCCAGCCCCGGGCCACGGCCCCAGACCCCCGCCCCGCCACTCCCCGCGGCGGAGAGGGCGAGGAAGGGAACACAGGAGCGCTGCCGATCCCCTCCTCCGGGCGCAGGGGGAGCAGGAGGAAGGGAACGGAGCCGCCGGGGAGTCGCGGCGGCCGGGAGGGAGCCCCGCGGCCCTGCCCAGCGGGAGGGTCCCGGCGGGGCGGAGGAGGTGCCAGCGGCGCGGGGCGGTGGCTGGATCCTGAATCCCGCCCCGGGACGCCGAAGTTGCGGCGGGGCGGCGGCCGCCCCTGTCGTCTCTCTCGATGTCCGTGTAACTCGGCGGCGGCGAGGAGGAGCAGGAGGAGGAGGAGGCAGGAGGGACCCTCCCGCCTCAGCCTCGCTCGCCGCCCCGCTCCGCTCCGGCGGGCTGTTGTGCGAGGGAGACAGACACACACACCCTGCGCCCCGTCCCGCCCCTAACCCCGCAGCCCCGGCAGGCCGGGCCGGGCGCGGTGCCGCCGCCGCCGCCGATCGCGGCTCGCTGTGTCCGCTGCCTGAGGAAGAGAAGGAGCAGGAGGCGGAGGGAGCGCCCCGGCGGGCAGCGGCGCAGCCATGAGCGGCGGGGAGGTGGTCTGCTCGGGCTGGCTCCGAAAGTCCCCGCCGGAGAAGAAGTTGAAACGCTACGTGAGTGCCCTCTCCCACTGGCGGGCCGCGCTCCCCCTAACTCCCTCCCTTGCTCCCTGCCCCGCTTCTCTCCCGCCGGAGCTCTGCGCTCGCCTCCCGCTCCCGCCGGCCCGGCCCGGCCCGGCCTCCCCGCGCGATCCCTCCCGGCCGGGCCCGGGCCAGCCGCCCTCCCGGCCGCCTCCCCTTTCCAGCCGGGACTTCTGCACGCCACGTCCTTGCCGCTGCCCCAGCGTTCATTTTCCCATATCTTTAATTTCTCTTTTCTTTTGTTTTTCTTTTTCTTTCCTTTTCCTCCTTAAAAAAAGGGGCGCTGAGCGGTCAGATGTTTCAGCCCAGCTTTTATTGCCTTTCCAAGGGAGGGGGCGGAGTTTTCCCCTCTTCCCTCTGGGTCCGGGCTCGGTATATATGTATTTTTAAACGTAAACACTTGCTGTCCCGGGGCTGGTGCCCGACCCCAGGGAGGCCGGGGGCTGCCCCGGCTCCGCGCCGCTCCCGGCGGGATTGCTCCCGGGGCTGGGGGCCCGGAGCCGCCGGGAGCCGGGGATGCCCCGGGAGCGCTCCCGCTGGGCCGGGGGTAGCTCCACTCTCGCTCTCCGCACCGGGGGGGGAAAAAAAAAAAAAGAGGAGGGAGTTGTGAGAGAAGCGCCTGTGTCTTTGCCGAAGTTGTTGCCGCTGTTGCTGAGCGGTGGCTGCGCTCGCAGGGGCTGCGGCAGAGCGGACACCGCGCTGCTGGCAGGAAAATGGAGCGCGTTTGCTGAGCGGGCAGATTCCATGACAGGGCACAGCGGAGCTGCGGGGCCGCCGGGGAGGCTGTCAGGTCACGTAGGAGGGATGGGTGATGCCAGGAGTCATCGCTGCTGGCTGAGCCCTTTCCCATTGGCACCCGGCTTGTTTCGTGGCATCTGTGTAATTGGGACAAAATGTTGGGCCTTTTCTTTTTTTTTTCCTCCTTTCTTTCTTCTTTATTTTCCCCCCAGTGTTTTGCTTTTTAAAGCAGATTATTTCAATTTATCAGAAATTTTATTTCAGATTTATTTGAGAATCTGTCAATACAGATCTTAATGTGACCATGTTGTTTTTGTCTGTTAGCGATTAGCAGTCTCTTCTTGAAGAACTGTTCTGTGCTTTTTTTTTTTTAATGCCCGGAAATTTGTGAAATGAGTCTCTATTTAAATTAAAAGCCAATATTTGGGGTAGCCTGTTCTCTGGTTCCCAATGTTAAAAATCCTCTTTTGTGTGAAGGAAAGAGAACATCCTGATGGGTCATAGCAGGGTCCTGCTTCCCTGCTAAATTTGACATGGACTGTATTCTTGGCCAGTTCTCCATGTCTGTGTATTCACAGGATACCTCTTTACCAGTGTGGAGGAATTAAGAGCAGTATTCATGTTTTTAAAGGCATTTAATAAATTTTCTGCTCAAATTCTTAAATCCTGTGAAGGGTGCAGTCTGTAAATGGACAGAGTTTGCCCTCCTAAATCATTCTCATTAATAAGTCTCTTAATATGCCAACTTTTTTTCCATGTAGCTGCCCCTTCAGTGTATTTATAGCTCCATTTCCATACTGGAATTACACAAGAACCTTTGAGGGGAAAACCCTGACTACAGCACTGGTCAAGTGGTTCCCTGTCCTAAAGAGGTAATGCCTTAATTTTCACTTGAAAGGGGGAGCTGCTTTTTGAGTAGGCAGAGTATCAGGATGATAATATGGCAAGCTTATGTCAGCGTGATTTGGTTTAACATTGCCATACATTGTAGCCCATAAGGCTGTAAATTTAAATCCTGCATGGTATTTTTGACTCTTTTCTGCTTGTATAAAAGAAAGGTACCACTTAAAGAAGGGCTTAAAGTAAAATTCCTCCTGTTTGTATGTAGTGCCTGATCTGTAGCAGGCTGAAGGCTGACACTCCCTTCAAAGACCTAAAAGTGACCTTGACATTATGGTCGCCGTCTTCAAGCAAACAAGAAGTTGATGTACTTAAGAGAATGAACTTTAGCTGAGTGCACTGGCTGGAGAGTTGGCTTGTGCTCCCTGTAATTCTATGCTTGAGCAAAGGCACAGCAGAGAACTGCCTTTTCCAAAGCCATGTTTTAGGGTGGTGGTATTTCAAGGGGCTGCACCAGATGAAAAGCTGGGAAAGTGATTTCAATAGGAAACAGCTTTTCTGCAAAACATACTTTTCACAGGTATATATGAAAAATTGTAACTTCATGCTCTGTTAGGTTTTGCATGCAAATGTTGGGGCAAACCCAGGTTACAATCTGGGAATGAAGATAAAAAGTCTGATATTGCTGTCAAATATGGTTTAGTTCTTGGAAAGGGTGAAAAGGAGCACTTTGAAGCTAGTACACAGACATATGTTTCACAGGGACTTCAATTTTTAGTTTGAAACTGTTGGACATGGTATTAAAACTAGCTTATACTCATTTTGAGGCTAAAAAAAGTAAAAACCCTCCATCCAGCCCTGTCCTGCAGATGGAATAATCAGATTTCCTTGAGTGTATGCCTCAGTGCCATGAATGTCTGTTTCCCCTCTTAGGAGTTCTGTTCTTGTGCCTTGTTCATGTGGTTTTGGTATGGAATTGATGTTCTGACAGCTATTGGCACCTGCTGTCAGTTCCCTGGAGCTGCTGTTCAGAACAGTTTGTTTGAGGGAATTGACTGGTTGTTTCCAGCAGCAGGTGTCTGAAGAAAGTACAGGTAACTTTTGGTGCCGGTGGGTGGTCAAGATGTGCATTTAGCAGAGGAGAAGGAAGAGGGACTTGGGGCTAAATCCTGCACAGCTCTCCACAGCCTGTGCTCTGGTTTCACGAGTACATGAAAGAACTTGTTTGTGCAGAGAGATGGAGGACTGGTAAATTTCACAGCTTCTGCTATTTTCTTGTATGTTTTTCTTTATTCCTTTCTTCCATTGCCTTAAAATTTGCAAACATTTATGTGCTCACTTTTACTTGCTATGATTTTTCTGTTCTCTTGTTTTTTAAAAATGTAGTTGGAAAGCCCCTTTCTCTCCATCTGTCCTTTAAAATGTTGATAGTAAAGTTTGGCTTTGTGTTTTTCTGCTACATTGCAGTTCTGTTGTGCACGTGCCAGTTAAAATAGCTGATGCTTTGTGGTGGCAGCACAGAGGTTTTTTACTGCCATTATGCTAGGAAACCACCAGATAGTTAAACACAGCTGTCCTTGGTAAAGCAAGAAAGAAAAGCTTGAGGGAATAGGAATAAGTCTTAAATTCACTCCTAGAACGACTGCACTTTTGTCTGGGGTAGGCTAGTGCTCAGTGGGACACCTGGATGTGCTTTAAATCAGAATCTTAGCATTGGTGGTTGGTTTATGGAACCAGTTTGTAGAAAGTCTACTGATGTAGTATAATAATTCCCAGTATTCTGAGGGAATCTCACAGTGCATATAAATATCTCAACGTCTGGTGCCAAGAGGTTGATGCCAGATTCTTTTCAGTGATGCTCAGTGACGGGATGAGGAGCAATGGCCATAAACTAAAAACACAAGAAGTTTCACCTTAACATGAGGAAGAACTTCTTTACATTGAGGGTGGCAGAGCACTGGAACAGGCTGCCTATGGGGGTCATGGACTCTCCCTCTCTGGAGATATTCTGGACCCACCTGGACATGTTCCTTTGTCATCTACTCCAGGTGACCCTGCATGGCAGGAGATTGGACTGAATGATTTCCAGAGGTCCCTTCCAATCCTAACTGTTCTGTCATTCTGATATGTCCTACTTACAAATACATTTTATTGGACAAAAGGTGAAACTCCATAAAAAATACTCTCTGTAGACTAAACACTTTGGGATAAATTGGTTCAGATTTTTCTGTATCTAATAGACTTTCCCATTCTTCTTATAGTTCATAAGATGATTTTTGAAAGTAAGTTAAGAAACCTTAATTTTGATGTAAGTATGGCTAAAAATCTTGTGGTTATTTGACTATTCCTATTGATAGTTCATTTAGTTATTTTAAAGTAAGGAGTTTAAAAATGAGAAATGGGCTTGATCTCCCTAGGATGTAAGGTGCACTGATATGATTCAGCCACGGCTACAGATAACATCCTCTTACTTTCTAATCTTTTCAGTTATAGAAAGTGACTAAAAAAGGGCCAGATTATTAAGCTAGTTATTGGTGTTTAAACTAGAGGCTCAGACAGCACAGGTACAGAAGTGGAATATTTTACTGGTTTTTGGTTTGGCAGTTGCTCTTTGTCACTAGTCACATAGGTGCATCTTCTGTCTTCAGTAATACTTAAATGTGCTAAGATATGTAAGGGTTTTAAGAAACGTTATATTCAGCAGAATAGTTGTAATTTGCTAAAAGATGCAGTGCCTGACCAAAGCCCTTTTTCTGGAAGACACCTGTTTGTGTTAAGCTTTTTTTTTGTGATCTTTCATCACTGTAGTGAGGAAATTTATGAAGCTGGTTGGTTTACAGGAAAAAACCAAGACAAACTGAGATGAGCTTGTCTGACATCATTCAGTGTGGTCCCCATGGAACAAGGTCAAGTTAAGTTAACTCAAGACAGATAAGTATTGTCAAGAAACATTATGTGACATCTTTTGTGTTCTGAACTTGATTGTGCTTGTGCTACTCAAGAAGTTGCTGGAGACCTCACAAGGATTGGTGCTCAGGCAGGAAACTTCCTTCTGGAAGGATGTCTGACCCTCCCCTTCTGTTCTGCACTGGTCAGAAAACAGCAGTTTCACTTTTGATCCTTCCAAACATGGGTCAGTAAACTCCAAATGATGAAGTTGAAGTCATGACTGAACACAATGTTTTTGTGGATTATAGGAGGAAGTTGCTTTGTTTTGTGTGCCTGCTGAAGATGCTGATATGATCTTGGGTATGACTTTAGGGCTGTAGCTACATCCTGAGCGAGCTGTTGGGATGTAAGGCTCACTTGAGGAGCATGGAATTCATCATACAAGTCTTTGTCATCTTTGACAAAGGACATCAGCACCTGGTGTTGACTTTGCTGCCAAAACTGCA